AAACGCTAGTAGGCTAGGAATCTCCTGGTATCTTCTTGCTTTGTAAAGTGTTGTGGCCTGTATGGAAATTGTTTTGCCGGCAGTGTTGGGGAGTAGTGAACTACAGTACATGTAGTTCAACAAATAATTTAACTACATTTTGCAGTAGCTTGGTGGTAGTAAACTAAATTGATATCTTGGTGGTTTTTTCAGTAGTTAATGACTTTTTTTGCCATGTAGCGGTGTAACTAACTACTGGAACTACACACTACTTTTTTTACAAAAAGACAAAGAAATATGGGTGAAGTAGGCAAGAATTTCCTTTCCCTTTCAGCATCAGACCTGCCTAAATCTCACTTGAAACATCGTTTTTGTGTTTAATAGGCAAAATTACACTTTCTGTTAACATCTTACCCATACGACCCAACATACGAAGTGATATGTTCTTACAATTTGTAGTCATTGACATTTGAGATTTACATATGACAATTTTTCACTAAGTAGTTTGGATGTAGTGAACTACTTTTACAAAGTAACTTTAGTTAAGTAAACTATATTTTTCTTAATGGTAGCTTTAGTTTAGTTTGACTTCTTCCAGTGTTAAGTAATTGGTAGCTTGGTAACTATAATTTCAGAGTAGCTTCCCCAACACTGCTTGCCGAACAGTAAATTAATTAACAGTTTCAAAATGTCTACATGTGTGTAACATTATTCAACTGTGTTAAATTATGTGCAGCATGAGTGAGGAGCTAGCAGTTGCAACCCAAAGGTTCCTCAGGACAGGCTAGCTAGCAATGAGTGGCGCCAGCTGTAGCTTGCAGCAATTTGACACAAGAGGCACGGTGCTCTCGAGCTGTAAAGGGGACATCGGCTGCACCGATAGTCAAGATAGCCGATAGACTAGCATAGGGCTACCAAGAATATCGGCCCGACAGATTATCCGTCGTTCTCTAGTTGGCTCCCATTCAAATTAGCCCCAAGGTTGTCTTTTTAAATCTTGTTCATTCTCTTAAACTAAATATCATGACTGTTTTCTCATTCGCTGGGAATGTTGTTTGGAATGTCTGAAAAAATATAATTTGGTTGATATCGTTATCAACCTGCATAACCCTTTAAAATATAAATGTTCATGTGCAGAGTGTGCTATTAGTGGTTTCTTTTTTTTGCAAAAAATCATATATTTTTGCGAAAATTGTAGTGGGTAGTTCCAGTAGCAGTGTTAATTTTGTCAAACAATAACTATGATGAAATATATTCGTCAACAACCTATTTTTCCTGACGAAAACTAATGACAATAACGAGACAAGATGCCCTGAAAGAAACAATAACAATAACAAATTACTTTTCATTTTTGTTGACTAAAAGAGATGAGAATTCCACATAAGACTAATGGACATTCAATTTGACATTAAGCTCCTTTTAATTAGTGGGGTTATGGTATGGGCAGGCATAAGCTAGGGATAACAAACACAATTGCATTTTATCGATGGCAATTTGAATGCACAGAGATACCGTGACGAGATCCTGAGGCCCATTGTTGTGCCATTCATCTGCCGCCTTCACCTCATGTTTCAGCATGATAATGCACAGCCCCATGTCGCAAGGATGTGTACAAAATTCCTGGAAGCTGAAAATGTCCCAGTTCTTCCATGGCCTGCATACTCACCAGACATGTCACCAGTTTAGCATGTTTGGGATGCTCTGGATCGACGTGGACGTCAGCGTGTTCCAGTTCCCGCCAATATCCAGCAACTTTGTACAGCCACTGAACAGGAGTGGGACAACTTTCCACAGGCCACAATCAACAGCCTGATCAACTCTATGCGAAGGAGATGTGTTGCGCTGCATGAGGCAAATGGTGGTCACACCAGATACTGACTGGTTTTCTGATCCACGCCCCTACCTTTTAAAAAAAAGGTATCTGTGATCAACAGATGCATATTTGTTCCCAGTCATATGAAATCCACAATTTAAATTGACTGATTTCCTTATATGAACTGTAACTCAGTGAAATCTTTGAAATTGTTGCATGTTGTGTGTATATTTTTGTTCAGTGTAATTAACTACTGAAAACACAACAAAGATTTGAATTTAGTTAAACTACCATCCAGCTACTGCAAAATGTAGCTACATTACTAGTTGAATAGTGGAGCTACTCCCCAAGACTGTGTAGTGTAATGTAGTAAATAATGTGGCATGGTGACAGAGAGTGATATAGGCTAGGAATTGAAATATGGAGGAAAACATTATCTGTAACTTTAATTAATCAGTAAATTAATATTGAAATCAACTGGGTCAGCTCTATGGTGCTGTACCCTGCTGCTAAAACAGTTTTCTGAGTCCTACTGTTGAATCTGTTTTCGAAGTGTGTTCCTTTCTGTCATGGTCACGATAAGCAAGTGCAAAGGTAAGAGTACAGTCTTGTGAGTTTTATGTTGTGTTTCTACATTTCTGCCGCCTGGAGCATCAGAGAACCTTTGCCATCACCAGTAGCACTGGATCAGTAGTGGAGTAGCAGTCTCGCGAGAGCTAGTTTATTTCTGTCTGTTATCTTTTGTATTTATTCAGCGAAATAACACAGTAATTAGGACAAAGTTCACCGCAAAAGGTTTGCTTGTAGAAATAAGTTATTGTGGTTTAGGTGATAGTACAAATGTTACATTTTAAAATCAAATAAACGAACTGGAGTAAGCACCAATAGGAAGGCTGGTGGTGCTGAGATTATGCTAATATTCGCCGCAAAGCATTCTCATCAAATAAGCAGAGGCTCCTGATGTTTCATGACATGTGCGTAAATATAACGATAGGCATACAAAATATCGACTTTTGGATAGGGCTGACATGAACTTAAAATTAGAAATATATCAGCATCGGCTAAAATGTCATCTTGTAACCATGACCTAAAATGACTTGCCACACATACTTGATCATCGCTGCCATATTCTAAAAGTATCGTCAGTGAGGTACATCCTTACCTGTTACTTCAGAAATGGAGTATCAGAACATGATGAATGGAGATTGATGAGAAATGATTATTCTCACCTGGTTCTCGGAGGAAACGCAACACTCCGAGGATCCTATTCTGATAAACTGACGATGTGAGAAAGCATGTTAAAAGAAAGTCAAAAATTCTACACTTATATCATCTTTTTCAGTAGTTTCAAATAAAGAATTACAAATGCAGTGCCCAGTACATCTATCCAATTCTAGCGAACTGATTTGAAAACTTGATTAGTTGTTGTATTTATTTAGACCCTATCTGCAGCCCCCTTCCGCCCACGCACACAGATGAGATTCCCTAAAAACACGCTATTTCGGAACAGCTAGTGACCTTTTTGTGACAGGTTAGAGTATATGCAGCAGGTTTGGAGAATTAAGTTATAGAAATAGTGTTGAGGTCTCAGATTTGTCAGCGATTTAGAAATAATGTAGTTAATGAAATATTCTTATATAATATGTAACAGCTATTTGCTAACGACGAGGTGGCCGAGTGGTTAAGGCGATGGACTGCTAATCCATTGTGCTCTGCACGCGTGGGTTCGAATCCCATCCTCGTCGTTGGAAGAGATTTTGTCCTCGATGGGAGATTTGTAATTGTAATATGTTTTCGTTTGACATTGTGTACAGCTCGATTTCTACTCGAGTATTTATGGATATTAAATTGATGGTGATGTTGCAAACAATGCGGTGGTTATCTGTATCGACATTAACTGTAATTCAATGTATGCCTAACAAAAGATTTAGATACCACCAAGGTCGCAAGTCCTTTATAAATCAGGTACATTTTCTATATTTGACTACGGCAGTTACAGGACTGGATCATAGCAATACATTTGAAATGCAGACGGCTACTTTATTTCGTCACCTTGAATTATGTAATTTTATTAAATGTAGTCTAAATTAGGATACATTTTCGTTGTTAAGTAAATACATGGACAGCATACAAAGAACCTTGCGCTCGTTGTGTTGCCAGTGGTGCCGTGGCTTAGTTGGTTAAAGCGCCTGTCTAGTAAACAGGAGATCCTGAGTTCGAATCTCAGCGGTGCCTTTTGCAATCTCTCAGCTATCACTTAATTGAACAGAAATGCAAACCATGGGCAGTTCTTCATTTTTAAGAGCTTTGAAATTCAACTGTAAAATACTCTAGCTATATTTCTACAGTCGCTGTTATATGTATACCACCATTTTACTAGACTCAACAAGCTCTGTCTCACATAAGAATGAGATGTTCATCTATGTTTCTCAAAGGTATTTAAGGTTAAGTTTGGCACTAACTCCGAATTTTTAAGGTTAGGGTTAAATTTAGGTGTTAACTATGAATGGTTAATGAATGGAACATCTGGCCTCAAAACTCAATTGGCAGCGGTGGGATTCGAACCCACGCCTCCTGAGAGACTGGAGCCTAAATCCAGCGCCTTAGACCGCTCGGCCACGCTACCTTACGTTATAACTTCAGGAAATGTTTTTGAAAACACAAGTCACGGCCAACTATATGATAACGTAATAAGCTATATGATAACGTAATACTTTTTGTGTTGCTTCATTGTCCCTTATTACATACTCACTGGCACACACACTGTATGTCGTCCTGCCAATTACTCTAGCTAGCATTAGTGTGTAGTAACAGCATCCAAACCTTACAAAATGCACCAAAGTAGTACTAGTCCTACAAATGTTAAATCTACAAAACAGACCGTCTGGAGAGCTCGTTTCATTTTTATTTTCAGTTATCACTGCTGTAGAGCGAACTTTTACCACAAACAATTTCAAATGGGACAAGTGACACATTTTAATTTTTTTATATTAATTGATAACAGACACACACACGTTGAACACAATATATTATAAGTCCGTTGTCTCTAAAACTGAATCAATATTATCTGATGGAACTGAGAAATGTAATACATGGGGGGAAATTGTTGTGTTTGTGTCCTACCTGTATTTGGTCAATGACCTTCTACTGTACTGCAGCACTACTGTGTTGTGTTTGTACTTAGATAAACAAAACAAAAAACTGTCTACTGGGGGTCAAGTGCTGGGTCGGAATAGCGGTAAGGGTCAAAGAGGTCACGGCCCCAATCATAAGGGTCAGAAGGCGCTACGGTCTCCTCGGTGGCCATTTCTTCTTTCACCTCCTCCTCTTCCTCCTCTTCCTCCTCTTCCTCCTCCTCCTCCTCTTCCTCCTCCTCCTCAACAGGGGCCACCACAACAGGGGGGAGAGTAGGGGGTGGTGGTGGCTCAGTCGCCTGGACAGGGCGAGGTGGGTGATCGATCAAGCAGTCAGGGTCCCAGTAAGGGTCGCAGTCATACTCCATCCCTTTAATGACAATGGGAGCAGGAGAAGGAGGTGGGAGAGACTTCTTAGGAGGGAGTGGAGGTGGGGGAGGTGCTTCAACAGCTGGTTCTGCAGGTGCGGCGGCAGCTATGACCACCTTGCCGGTTTGGGGTTTGCAGGTAGGGTTGTAGCGTGGGTCACAGAGGACTGGGATGGCCCCTGCAGGCAGGTAAACGATGTGAGCTTTACAGAGGGGGTCTTTGGGGTTACACAGATACAGGACATCAGCCTCAATAAGAGAAAGTGGGGCTGGTGTGGTAGGAGGGGGCTGAGTGGTAGGAGGCAGTGTGGTGGTAGTAGGAGCTGCGGTGGTAGGTGGTGGGGTTACCACACCCAGGGCATTCTGGTAGCTGGAGGCGTCTGGGCCATAGACCTGCTCTAGGTGACGCATCTGCTGATACAGTATCCTGATCTTGTCAATCTCATACAGCTGGGAGAAATGGAGAGAGAGAAAGATCCACACAGGATTTGAGAATGAGAGAGGGAGGGAAAGAGAAAATAAGTGATCAGATTGGTTGAGGGATAGGCAGATGACAATAACCTAAATTAAATCTGGTTTAAGATTCATTATAATACCGCAATAAAAAAATACAAATCTCTCTCATGATGTGATCCCTTTACTCACTCCTTCAATATGGCCGATGCTGTTGTAGAATTTGTAGTAGGACTGGAAATCAGGCATGCTGCGGTGCCACTTAGGGTCCGGGTCGACGTTCCGTTTGGGGCGTGACTGAGACAGGAAGCCATGAGCCTGGGCAGAGTCGATGCTGACCTCCCCTACAGCTGCATTTAATGACAGGAATCATGGTGGGAGAGAGGGGGGTTGGAGACAACACATTTAAGCAAAATAATTAGAAAACATCTTTCTTTCTCGCACGCGTGAACACACTCTCTCTCTCACACACACACACACACACACACACACACACACACACACACACACACACACACACACACGTCAAACATAAATCAAAGAGTAGGCTGCACAGTAAAACAAGCACGTGCTGATGTTGTATTTTTTAATATTAGGGCGAAATGAGTGCCTTATGTTATATTAAATGAAGTGCCCTTTAATATAGACCACATGGAGAATTCAATAAATCTGATTTTGAAAATGAAAAAAAGAATTTAGCATTTTGACATGTCCCTCCACCAACCCTGTGTAACTTCTAGGAAGATTTTAACCCACTTAATCCCAAAATGTCTCCAAGTTTCACCATCATTGTAAAGCCCTAGTTATTTTATTGCTTTGACAAAGTTTTTTCTGAAGATTATTATTTATTTCATGTGATTAGTGATCATTTACGTTTTTCCCTCATTTTAAGGTCAACCCTGTTACGTGAACTGAACTCTCGTTTTAATATGGTGAAACATTTTTTTTTTTTTTTTACAAAAGAAACATTGAACATCTAATAGTCAAATCATAGAGTAAAAACAGGTGAGCTGGTTCTACTCTTTTTGGCCATTTTCTGGTGTTTTGTGGTGGAAAACTGAGGGTGTCAAGCATAACACTTAAACCCTGTTACCCATAGATAGACAGGCCAGAAATGTTTTAACAATTTCACTTTTTTTGTGAAGCTTGCAGTCAACTGTTACTTTATTTGGCACTTACTAGTCTTTTAACCTTTTGAGATGGGAAAATGTGTTTTTTTATTAAGTTGAACATGTGCTCTTTATGACAGAATGTTACAATGGTGAAATCAAACTTTTTTTTAACAAAGTTACACTTCTCAAAAGGCACCAAATTGGTGGAACGACCCATTACCTCTAGTCTTCAGAGGTGTAGCATCCAGCAAACCTGCAGAGAGGGATAAGGGGTAGAGAATACAATCAGGGTCAGAGGTGGAGAGGAGTCTCTTGCTGCAGAAATATCTGCACTCAGAAGTTTATGAAAACTCTATAATTTTCTATTTCATAAAATCTGTTTGCGTTATCACTTGCATCTACCTAAATCATCTCTTACTTTTGCAATTGAAAGCTATGCCCCCGTTCTATAGGCTATATTTAGTTGCCATCTAGGCAGAAATGTTGGTTTAATGTGGAAACAGACCTGGCAGTAGGCAGTATAGTGTCCCCGTCAGGAGAACCTGAAAAATCATCCTTGCCACCTGGATAACACACAAAAAGATGCATCACTGGCGTAAAATACAGCTTGAATTCTGATTTGATCATAAAACAGACTAACATAACTCGCCGCTCACCCAGTAGAGTTGTATTGGCATGCAGACCAGCTGCATATACCAGGATGATCAGAGATAAACTGACTATTCACAATGCTCCAGTTTCCTCTCACATTTGAAACTACGTCAACATTAGCCTGTACTTTCTGCATAAAATAATAGGTCATCTAGATGACTTCACAACAAGATTTTAATTTACCCCATGAATCACTTCAATCATCAGTCGTCCTTATAACAGATTCATTACATTACACAGGACCCTAAACTGGCACATTACGCCTTGACAGCAGTGATATTGATCTAGAATATAAAGATGTTCCCACGTCACTCCAGAAAAGGCTCTGGTGCACCAACTACTGTTTTAGGCACGCAATCAACCTTTCCTAATAATGATAAATATGAATTGAATTAACCTAGTCAGGCCTCTTGACCACCCTTATGATCACAGCACATATTATATTAAGTACATCATCTGCAAATCATATTCTTACTTACCTGTACTTGTATCTCTTCACAGTCCAGTGTCAGTCAGATAACATTACAGTTCATAAATACTGAACTCAACACAACTCATAATTTGGGTGCTTTCCATTGGCTATTGACCCCAAGTAACTCCACCCCTTGCACCTCTACCATCCTTTTCTTCTTGAAACATGGAAATGGTTAAAGCGCTCATTAAGCGCTATTATAAGTGTGTACCCGAGGGAATAACTATAAAAGTCAAACTTCAAATGAAATCCAACTCGCTGTAAAATGGTGACAGCCAGGCACCCGCTGAGGGCTGAAACGGTGCATGGGGGAGACAGGGTCCCTTGATGTTATGGCCCCACTCCAGCTGCATATGGTCCTGTTAGATATACTCAGAAGAAGACCTAAACTCACAAATACATTGTAGGCCATCTCTTTATGTCATATCACTACCAGTATGGTATGGCATGAACCTCATTACCTGACGCATGCATGTAGGCTAAATTAGATTGTCTCACCCCATGTTCAAGAATGGCCTTTTTCCCTTTATTCAGATTACAACCTCTCACTTTCAGTTATTTGAAAAAGAAATCATCTCCCAAATATCACTATTTCTAAAACAAGCCATAGAAAGTTAGTTGCAATTTCAATTTAATCCTCCAGAAACGACAGAACAAATAATGCAACAAATATTGTGGTTAAACTCAAATATACTAATTGATTAAAATCTTCGTAAATGATATCATAGGTAGAACTGGTGGAGTTATGTCGCACATGCAGCTAACAAAAACATATGGAAATGTCTGCTCTACCCAAAATTACAACCACATAATTGCAGCATTACCGCAAAAATGGAAGAGGAAAGTGGAAGGGGGAAAAAGTAAGGAACTTGTCTGTTGGCCCTGCATTAAAGACCATAAATCGGTTAAAGAAAATTGTGATAAATAAAAAAGTATACCAGTTTCATTTAAGGACCAAAGGATTGACAGCCGTCCCATATAGATTGCAAAATAGTTGGGAAGAGATTTTTGACGTACCGATTCCATGGCAAATGGTTTATGAACTGATACGCAAAACGACGCCGGATTCAAAACTTAGAATTTTTAATTTAAATTATTATACAAAATTATTGCAACCAAAATAATGTTATTTATATGGGGGATACAATCTTCCCAGCTCTGCAGATTTTGCTGCGAAGAGACAGAATCAATAGATTATTTGTTTTGGTACTGTCCATTTGTAGCTTGTTTTTGGTAACAGGTCCAGGAATGGCTGAAGGATTGCAATATTTACCTGGAGCTAACCCTGCAGATAGCATTACTGGGTGATCTGAAAAGTCATAGTCAATCGATCAATAATATAATAATACTTTTAGCAAAAAAAATTATTTTCAGTTTTGAATCTGTAGAAACAATGAGAATAGAAGGGTTCAGAACTTTTGTGAAACATCACAGTACAGTTGAGAAACATACGGCAAGTAGAAATCCAATATGGATGGTGTTAAGAGATAGATGGGAGGGGTTGAATGGAGCTGAAGGTTGGGACTAATAACAACTAATAAACAACAAAATAACTAATGTAAAACATACTGTGTCCATAATAAGTATATAGGTTGAGAACTTTTGTGAAAAAGAGCACAGTTTGGGGGATATGGCATGTAGAGGCAAACCAGATGGACATCATGAAAATGATCAGAGAGGTTGAGGGTAGAGGAAGTTTAGGAGTAAAAACAAACAAAATATAATTATTGTAAAATTGACTGTGTCCATAAAATGTATATAGTATGTATAAGCTGGAAGTAGCTGGCCCTCCTGTAGCTCAGTTGGTAGAGCATGCGCTTGCAACGCAAGGGTTGTGGGTTCGTTTCCCACGGGGGGCCAGTATGAAAAATGTATGCACTCACTAATTGTAAGTTGCTCTGGATAAGAGCGTCTGCTAAATGACTAAAATGTCAATTGGATCACTAAAATGTAGAGGCCTAAGCGTTGTTGTTTACTCCAATTAGGGGAGGGGTGGTGGGGTTGGAAAGTAATAAAGGAAAATACTTTTTTTTAAAGTATATATATATTTGCCGTAAAAAAACATATGGGGGATTGGAAGTGATGCAGACAATTACATTGATGGAAGTTACAATCTATCTGCAATATTAAAGCTGATCTACCCCCTACATTTTTTAACTAATTAAATACTAAATAAATACTCAGAAGAAGACCTAAACTCACAAATACATTGTAGGCCATCTCTTTGTCATATCACTACCAGTATGGTATGGCATGAACCTCATCACCTGACGCATGCATGTAGGCCAAATTAGTTTTAAAAAATCCCAATACAGAATACTTTTCCAACTTTTTTAAAAGGTCCAATGCAGGCATATTTATCTCAATATCAAATCATTTCTGGGTTTACAATTAAGTATCTTACTGTGATTGTTTTCTATTAAAATGGTCAAAAATAAACAAAAACAGCTTATTAGCAAGCAATTTAACAACAATAATTTTACCAGGACTGTCTGGGAGTGGTCTGAGTGGGGAGGGGAAACTGAAAATTAGCTGTTATTGGCAGAGAGGTTTGGAACTATCTTTCTTATTGGTCTATTAACTAATTTGCCACATGGTGATGTCACCATGGAAGGCCAAAACTCCATTCCACCATGAAATTTCAGGCAGTCTTTTCAAACAGCTCTTACACTAAAAGGAGTTTATCATCATATTCACAATTGCACAGTATTATTGCAACCTCAGTGTGGAAATATATATAACACAGAGGAAAATCACGTTTTTGACTGCACTTGGCCTTTAAACTCTGTTCAGATGTGTGTTGGACTCCAAGGGGGTAATATTAGCAAAACAGCTATTTTCCTGACGAAACCTGCTTGAACGGCAAAAGTAACCCCTTCTCACAAAACAGCTGGGGTTTTCCGTTTTAACTTCTGTTACTTGGCAAGTAAAAAATGTGGTTGGGGGTGTAGGGTTGACTTCTGTTTCAGTAAATACTGCTTAAAAGGGATATCAAAAGCGGTCTTTACCACCTTGTTGTCACAGGTTACTAACAAATGAAAACACCTACGTTTCTTTGAGGGTCAAGTAAATTATTTATTTAAGACAGGCCTCACTAAAGGTACACCGAACGT